GATACAGCCAGCAAACACTCCACTTGGAATGGTGAGGAACAGGAGGTGCACACAGCACTCACCGGTCTGCAGCAGTTCTGAAGTCTTGCCTAGCAGATATCTTACAGGCCTCCTCTTTGGGGGGTGGAGACTGCTCCTGGTTTCAGAATCGATTCTATACTCTGGAAAGCGCTTCCTTCCCTCATTGTTCTCCATGGCCATGGCCATGGTCTTGCCCTCTCGAACTCCTTTTCTCTCATTCACTCAGGACCTAGGTTAGCAGAGGGCCTGCCTGGCATAGCTGCGCTACCTGGAATGTGAGACCTCTGCAGTCACTAGAGGAGAGGGACAGTGAGACTAAAGAGCCAAGAACGGACTTTTCATTGCCCTAGCCTGCAGGTGACACACATTAATTCTGCTCACATGTCATTGGCCAGGACTGGTTGCAGGGCCTCATATAAGTGGACAGGATGCAGCAAATGTGGCAGGGGGAGGTGAGTGGAGTGTATGTGTTACCAGGTCAACTCCCTGTACAGCGGCTGGAAGGAAACTGTTACTTCCATGTAGTCTTGTGCTTCCAAAGGTCCCCACCATCCCGGTCATGCCCTCGACCTGCTTTGAGTTAATGTACTGAAGGGTCTAGGACTGAGCACTATTGGGAAGGAAACCCTTTTTATTTGGTCAGTGTTTCTCTGTTGAAGGACCTGTACTGGAATAAGACTCATGGCCTCTAGTCCCAACTGTGACTCACTCCTTTTTACAGAGAAGTCAGGCAATGACAGGTGAGCTAACGACTGTCAGCTTCCCCTTGCTCAATGTTCCCTGCCCCAGGCTGTCTCCCGGGTGCTTTGGTTGGCTTTGGGTTTGTGTGGGGGGATGGAGGAAGGAGCTTGTGGGCATAGAGTATTAATCTGGCCCATCAATGTCATTTTCTCCAATTAGTTTATTAATGATAAAGCTGACAGTTTAACCTCCGTCTGTCGGTCTCTTGTGTCTTATTTTTTAACCAGTGTGGCATTATTTTTGTGTGGTTTTGCAAAAGTAATGTGGGACCAACACCTCTCACGTTCTGAATACTGTACTTCTCTTGATACAGTCCAAGATGAAACAGACCTTTTGAAGGTTATGTCACATTATTGCCCTGTATCCACTTAGCATGAAATAAAAACTCTAAATTAAGGCTTTTGCTTTGGTTTGAAGCCAAAGGTTAGAGCAGACGAGAATGCGAAGGATATGAGAGCTGAAGGCTGAAGAGATTTGGATGATAAACGACGGGGCAAATTGTTTGAGGTAACAAACATCAGAATGGGAGGGGGCTAGGCAGTTTATTTTAATGAAATAATGAAATAATGAACACATTTTGAACTTCGCACCCCCTCCATTGTCAGTGAAAACCAGACACATTACTATGGAAGGAATAGCTAATCTAAACTCACATTTTGATTTTCAATTCTTTATAGAAACCAAGATAAACATTACTTGCAGAGAGGGAAGCATGAACTTTGATATTCATCTATTATTTATACAACTCCTGAAATCTTTCCATCATTTGATGTCGTGGGAGGCTTATAAGCCATTGTTCGTTCCAACATATGACTCAACTTCTCTTTTCACAATTCTCTTACGGATTGTCTTCTGTGGTTAGGACTGGTTGGGCATTTGGAGCTCCTGTCTCAGAAATGTCAACAGAGAATATGCCTGGACCTTCAGGTCTTACCTTGTAAATATACTGCAGCTTAGTCTTGCTCTTCTTTTTTAAAAAAGATTTTATTTATTTTAGAGACAGGGGAAGGGAGGGTGAAAGAGAGGGAGAGAAACATCAATGTGCAAGAGATACATCAATCAGTTGCCTCTTGCACGCCCCCAAATGGGGACCTGGCTCACAACCCAGGAAAGTACCCTGACTGGGAATCTAATTGGTGACCTTTCAGTTCACAGGACGGTGTTCAATTCACTGAGCCACACCAGCCAGGGCTATTCTTGCTGTTCTTGAACATTCTTTTAGGTACTTACAAATATTCTGTCTCCTTACCATTTAATTTTTTCTACTGGACAGTCAGCCTGTGAATCAACTCAGTTATAACATGAGTTTCTAGGGTGATACGTGCTTTAGTTTTATGTAATTAATTGAAAACAGTGCAAAGTTCCCTATGAATCAGTATTCTTAAAAACAGGACAAAGGTTTGGCGTGGCTGGGTGAAGGGTCACCAGGGCAACCCACACTGATAGTGAATACAGTCTATAATGCCTCAGACGGGACAAGTCACCATTTGTGTGATGCCAGGGACCGTGGGCTGGTTTTGTAGGTTGCTATACTTTCCTCTTCTTCTTCTAGTTTTTTAACCTATTTTAGCTTTGCTAGTATTCTATTCTCTTCCTTTTCTTTTGTTCCTTTTCTTTTGGAGATTTGCTCAGTAATTACTGAATGCTCACCCTGTGGTCTCCATCAGAGTGCAGAATGGTACATCACCTTGGTCTCTGTTCATGGCCACCATCACTGGAATCGTCGTCACAACCATCACCATCGTCATCCCCATTATTGAGGGTATATCTTGGTTATACCCTGCTAGGTACTTGAAGTGCAGTATTTTGGAATCCATTTATAACACTAAGAAAAGAAAGTGTTGTGGCATTCTTATGTAACAGTGGGAGAAGCAGACTCAGAATTTATATTCCTCGCCTCTCAGCTAGCATGCAACTGGTTAACTCCTGTCTGCTTGGCCCACATCCATCCCGTTCCCACCTCCCCCACCCCCTGTAGCATATGTGAGAAGGGCTGTAGTCTTCTCAATTCATTTCTGCTTTATATTCTTTAGACTATTTCACACATGGTAATTGTTATACATTGGGTTTATTATCTATTTATTACCTGTTCTGAAAGAAGGCCCTTTAAAGACAATTTTAAAATATTTTGCAAACGAATGCAATAAATCTTGTGTTACAGCTCCTTGTCATGTGGCATTGCTGGGAACCCAGTTAGTTTGACCTGGTCCTCTGTAGACGTGCGGCATTGGGCACAGATGTGTGCGCAGCCCTGACACGAGCTCTGCACGGAGACGTGTTTCAGGACCGACCAGGGCGTGGTCAGGAACTCGGGGCAGGACAGGGCAGTGGGAGAGGAGGACCTGGCATTGATGCCTGCCTCTAATTGCCCCACTTTCTCCACTGGGGCAGAAGTTTCCTGGGGAAGCTACAGGTTCTGATTGCACAAGTTCAGTGTCTGGAAGTTCTAGCCTGGGCAAAGTTCAGCAGGTGTAGAGCAGGAAGGTATACAATGGAGTATTATGAACACTGAAGTCATGTGGAAAATTGATGTAGACAATACTTCAATAAAGGGACAAAGGAAGGGGCCCAGATTCCTAGCTTCAGGGCTACCTATGCATCATGTGGCTTCTGCTCCAGGATGAAGGCTCCTGTCAGTCTGCAGTTCTGGAGGGAAGCTGCCAAGGAGGGGCCGAGGGGCCCATGTGAAATGCATTAATACATGTAAAGCAATTAGAAAACTGACTGGCATGTAGCAAGTGCTTAGAAATGTACTTATTGTTATTCCACAATGTGTTATTACTACTCCAAGATGTAGTACTACTATTTCTCAAGCATGCTATTATTTTTATTACTATTGCTATTATTGCACTGTAAGTTAGGAGGTTTGGTACTGAGGGACCATGGAAGAAACCCAGGGAAGATATCCACAGGTGGGACTAGTGCTTGGAAGTGAGGTGAAAACCTAGATATTGGAAGAGCCATGTGTAATACTGGGGTACAGATTAGACTCTCGGAACCTTTAAAATATCCCTGAGCCAAATCACTGTTGGTCTAGGCACTTCCAGATGACCTGGGTCAGCTGATGGTAGTCATTGGAAGGCACAGCTAATGAGGTATGGACCTCATGCAAAAAAAAGGTATTCTTTAGTAGTAATGACTTCGGTGTCAACTATAGTCGTGCTTAAATAATTTAAACATTATTTAAAATAATTATTTGTATTTTTTCTACTCACTGTTGTGTTTACTGAGCAACCATTTAATACTAAAGCCAGAGTAATAAAATAAAATAAGAGAGATAAAACCATAATGAACCCAATACTTCGAGATTTGTGAGGCTGTTATGCAGCCTACACTGTGAAAACTCGGTGTTTCTGAAACGTTAACACCGACGCACCCACGTGGAGACAACAGTGACAGAAGATGGAGCTACAAACGTCCAGTTATGAAATAAGGAAGTCACGGGAATGCAATGCGTGGTGCAGGGCCTGTGGTCCCCATAGTAATGCCGCATTGCACGTTTGACAGTCGCTGAGCGTAGATCCTCGTTCTCCCGTGAGCAGCATACACTTGAACAAAGATGTTCCAACATGCACCTAGAGATACAATTGGAGCCATATCGACAGCAAGCAATCTGACACATTTAGAAGACGTACTGAGCAGACCGCACTTACTGATGGAATCGACGTACATGCCACGCCCTTTTTACTTTAAGCATCTAAAAAGTCACCGACTGCAATTGCTACAGAACTGAGGGAAATATAGTCTTTTTCTCACATGTATTTTCTGTACACTATTTCGGATGTGCGCTGTTCCTGGCCCTGTGTCTTAAAATTGATCTGGCTGGCATCCTCTCCGTAGCCTTCAGAAAACTGACAAATTGGATATTTCATGAATGCCTAAGAAATCACAGTTGGTTATAAAACAAAACAACACATGTGCAAAACATGTAAATCAGAAAGTGATACAGCTTTTTCGAATAGCTGACCCAGTGTTTGCGTTAGTCAGGTCTCACGAGTTTGAATATGATAATAACGCATTGTTCTTACTTTGCTGATCAGATGACTTTCACAATTTTCCAGACAACCCTCTGGCTGAAAGTGCCGTTTCTTCTTACCCACATTTACACTAATATTTAGTCTATAAATTCCTGAAAAAATCAGCCCTGACACTCCCAGGCTCCCTTCCATTCCCTGCCCTTGCGCTGACGCAATCTCAAGGCAGCTCCCTCGTCCTGAGCCTGCCGCCAGCGACCCTTCGCTCCTGAAACGCCTCTGCAGCCTTCCTTTGTGCTTATTTTAACCCCACATTTGAAGAGCACGATGGTGAGAAAACAGCCTGGAGTCCGGCCAGGGCTTTGTAAGTTTGTTGCCGCGGCTGCTCCGGCTTCGTGAACTGCGACTGGGGGATTTGGGAAGCTGGTGAGGGAGGATGAAAGCAGCGGGTGGTGCAGTGATTTTCGCTTTAAACCTAAAAGATTTTTCCTTCTGCATTAAATAGACGGGCACATTTCAAAGCCAAGTGTATGTGTAATGAAACAGGAAAGTGCCTATTTTATTGGCACTGAAGGTCCAGACCGCCGCCACGGGTGCGCTTTGTCAGTCGACAGGAGACGCCCGGCGAACGTGCTGAGCAGACAGGCCAGTGGGAACAGAAGGATTAGATGCTGGACGTGGGGCCGAGTCCGTGGCCAAGTGGGTGCTGCAGGATCCTGCCCGCACAAACTGGGTCGTGTTATCTTTTCTTCCTTCTCTCGCCCACGCAGAAGCGAGAGCACACCCCTGGCATTCACAGCAGGAGACGCTGACTCCTCGGCCAGGGCAGCTGTGGACCACCCAGTCTCACACGCAGCTCGAGGCCTGCTGAGATGTTTGGCTACTGTGCCCAGGATCGACAGGTCCTTCGGGATTGCATATAAACAAACAAACAAAAATCAGAAAAGCAGAAAGCCACTTTTTCCCCACTTAGGACTCACTTTCAAACCCAGTGTTTTAGTTTTGAGTTTTCGCAACATAAAATATGGTGCCGATTACTCTTGCATTTCCGCGTCTGTGTTTCCCCGGTTAGCTGCCTCTCACGTACATTTTGTCTGTCACGAGCGCCCATGGCTTCCCTTTGCTTGTCGTCTTTCCTTCTCTTCTGCCCCCTCTGTCTTCCTTTGCATTTTCTCCCCCTGCCTCTTTGGATCTCTCTGGGTCACCACCACAGTTAGCCAGGCAAGCAGCTGAGATCAAACAGCCTCTGGAAGGGCCTTCCTCACAAAGGGTCTTCCTTGGCCCCAGCCATTCTCTGGTCAGCTTGCTCTCTGGGGAACCACCTTGACCTTCTCCACAGCCCTTATAACACCCTCAATCCCAACAGCCCAGATCCTCATTCTGGAGTCTACTCTGCCTCATCTGAGATCAGGTCTCCTGAATGAAACAGAATTTTCATAAAGAATTATGTTGCTGCCCTGGCTGGTGTAGCTCAGTGGATTGAGCGTGGGCCTGCGAACTAAGGGATCATGGTTCGATTCCCAGTCAGGGCACATGCCTGGGTTGCAGGCTACTTCCTAACAGGGGACACACGAGAGGCAACCATACATCGATATTTCTCTCCTTTTCTTCTTCCTTTCCCCTCTAAAGATAAGTGAATAAAATCTTATAAAAAGAAATGAAAAGAATGATGTCGCTTCTCTCATATTGACAAATAGGAGAAACCGCAGCCAAACTGATGGACCACCGGAAGGATGAGCTGTGACCAGTCCATGTGGTAGGGGAGAAAGAGCCCCGGACTCAGCTCAGAACACCCACCTGCGCAGCTGCGACTTGTCGAAAACAGGCCAGGTGAGCTCGGCACCTTTTGGAACCTCAGTATCCTCACACTTAACTAGAAGACAGAACAGTTGCTTTAAGGTATTTATGAAAGTTGATTTCCAAACAATCTCATAAGTCTACACATAGGAAATGTCCTCTATCATGTAAGGGGAGGTCAACACAGAAGGCACACTAAAATCTTTAGGTTGGGATGTTGAGTATGTTTGGATTCAAATGCACCGTGGCTCAGAAATAGCTTTGTACTGCCAGCAAAGCTGGACATGAAATGTTATGACTCATAAATGTCAGTAGTGTTGACTCCCTGAGCAAGACAAGCCGTCAAATTCTTAGACATACTCCCTCCACGGCCGCACCCCTCGTGGAGTGAATCTCAGGAATGTAATGAAGCCTCTGAGCCTGATGTAGCAGCTTTAGGTGGGGAGGAACCAGTGAAGCCGGTGCTGATAACGGAGGGCACAGCCGGGGCAAGAGGGAGCAAGGCGGTGGGGTGGGGATGCTGCAGCTGGGGTCAAGTCTAAAGTGTGGGATGATGTTCTGATTGTGGGGTCAACTCTATCCTTCTGATATAGGTCTGTCTGCCTGCCAGCCTCTCCTTCTCCCTCTCCCCCTCCATCTCCATCCTCATCTCTGACTCTCCAGCCAGCTGTGCCCAGGAGCTGCGAGCACCTCCACGCAGTATCAGGCAGGCCCCCTGGGGCTGGAGGGGCCAGAACGGGGAGGGAGTTCTGTCCTGGAACCAGACATGTGAGAGAGGAGGACAGGGAGGCAGGTGATGTCACTTCTGCCTGGTCAATACTCTGTATTAAGCTTTTTTTCCATTTTTAAGGACCCCGGGTTAAGGATGACCAATTCTTAAAGAGAGCTGAAACAAGCTGTCTTTAAACTTCTCACTATTGCCAACAGGGCACTTTGGAAATAGCTTTCCTACTTATCAGAATAGTGTTGACAAGCAAATTAAATTCTGTGCTATTGACCTGTGTGAGATGATGATGGTACATGTTTCCCTGCGGATGTCTGTGTGCCAAGTAACAGCAGACCAGTTAAGATGCTGTTGAGGGGAAATTGTGTGTAGCTGCTTGGAAAAGGTATCTCTGAACTTTAAAAGGGATATTTAATTGTTCTTGTAGTGGGTTGTTTTGCTAAAAGGCAAAAGTAAATGTGTGTCCCTGTCCAAGTGAGAAAAAGACACTCCGTCTGAAGCTGCTTTGAAGTCTTTGTAGACTTCAGATCGTGTAAACTTCTGACCATTTTGGAGTGTTAGACTTCGTCCTGTGCTTGCAAGTCTTTTTCCTTCCCCTTCCCTTTCAAGAGCAGGAGAGGAGAAGGAGGCCAGCCACGCTGGTTAGCCAGTGACTAAACACCGCTGGGTGCCAAGGTAAACTCAGACCGACAGGGGGCTTCTGCTGCAGCGGGCAGTGCTCATGCCTCCCGTCCCCTGGGAGTGACGCTCAGAAGGAGGAGCGCCTTCCCTTTTCTTTTTTCTTTCCTCTGTCTGCACACACCGCCAATGGTCCCCATGAAGTGCTGACCACAGTGCGAAGGTCATGGTAAATGATCCCCAAATGCTACCTATTGTTTGCCTCTGGCTTATTTTGGCATCCTTTGCACGGTGAATTACAGTATGTGTGAAAAAAAAAACCCATCACAGATTCTGTCAGGCAAATAAACCTTGGCTGTGTCCCCAAGGCCTAGAAGACATTGCAGAGGCACAGAACTTAGGTTGCGGCCACCGGAGGTCACAAGGAAAAGAAGACGAACATTCTGGTGCTCGTTCCCCATCCTGTTTAGATTTGGTTTGGCCTGGGTTTCTTTGGAATCTCTGTTAGAGAAGCGGAGTCTGTTTGCTCCGGCATTCACGGCCTCTGAGCTCCAAGCCTCCCACAGCGGATGGAAGGGTGGGTGCAAGAAGCAAATCGCATGTGAAATCAAGGGGCAAAGAGTTGTCAATTTGATCCATGGGAAAGGACTGGGGTGTTTCAAACTTGTTTTTTAAGTTGTTAGAGGATAGACTTTGGCGAGAAGAGTGACTGCTTTCCGGCGAGTACTCTCTACAAGGGTGTTGGGTAGAACCCTCTCCCAGGCCCTGCAGCCCTGGGGGGCCGTTGGCTGTGGTTGCCCCTTTGCGTGCCCCGTGCTGATCTCTGGTTGCTCTGCTCAGCATCACTATGAGGGCCCCAGTAGGGACTGCTCTTTGGGACCACGACGGTCCTGGAAAGGGCACAGCAGTGGTGTAGGATGTTTGTCTGTTCAAATCCAGGTTCAGCCACTTCAAACCTGTGAGGCTGGGCAGGCGATTTAATCTCAGAAACTTAATATCATAATCCAAAAGCAAAAACACCTCTGTTGCCTTTTCTTTTTAAAATGAGAATGACTTGAGATAAAGTACACAAACCTCTGCCTATAAACACTGACCAACATCTCTTTCAGGACAGATTCATGATTTATAGAAAGCAGTCTTCTGCCCCTTTTAATAACAAACAAATATGTTTAGAGAACCATGTAAACAGCTTAAAATAAAATAATAGAAATGTTTTTAGACACATGAGTGGGTAGTGAAAAGTCTAGTATTGTTCTGGCCAAACCAAGACAAAACCAAATATAGAATAGAGATGTTTTCTTTTTATTTATGGAATAAGAAAATGGAGAATAGAAGCCTGAATCTGTCCTGCTAACAATATTTGGTAGTTCAAAGGAAATAAGACTTCCATTTAGCATCCAGTTGTACTTTGATCTGTTTCCGTGCAAATGAATTCTGGGTCAGTTTTAGAATTTTTGTCTAAGATTAGCACTCTTTTTTCCCAGCAATCTTGTGGAGTCGGGTACATGTCAAAAGTGTGCGTGAGAGGGTTACTCTGGGGCAAGGTAGTGATGGGATGGACGGTCCCTGAGACTCAGGTGGTGGCAATAGTAATAATAACCATGGTGATGGATTATGGTTGGCATTACTGGAGAAGTTACTGTGAGACCCAGAACATGTTAAGTACATTTTCCTACATTTTCTTTTCCTTTACTTTCCCAAGCAAATCTAGGCACTTGTTCTGATCCCTGTTTCACAGACGGGGAAACCAAAGTGCAGTTGAAAATGCTGATAATGAACAGGGAGAGGTGGCCCATGGAACCCAAGTTTGCAGTGCGGAGTGGGAAGTAGTCATCCAGTGTCTCTGAAACATCTAGCATCTCTGAGACGCACTCTTATAAGCCTCTACTAACACCATCACTAGGGTGAGTGTGGATTTGCTCATTGTTTATGCAGTTACAAGTTATTTTCCCACCTGACATTCCTTTACATCAGGGTTTCCCAACATCAACACTATGACATTTTGTAATAGATGATTCTCTCTTGGGGGTGGGGCTTCCCTGTGCATGGTGGGATGATTAGCAGCACCCCTGGCCTCTATGCAATAGGTACAAGTAGTACCCCCCAAATCTGACAACCAAGAATGTCCCAGACATTGCTAAATGGCTCTGCAGGGGAGGGGGGGACAGTAGCCAGTAGCCCCTGGCTGAAAACCATTGCTTTAGAAAAGTCTTTAGAAAACCTTCTAAGATAATCACAAAAATATTGCATGCAGTGTGGTAGCACCTAAGCAATCTCATATTGCCTAGGTGCCAGTCATCTAGGGTGGTCACAACATACAATTTATGAACACGTATGAATACCGACATTGGCCTTTCCATCTTATAAAGATAACTCATCCCTCCTGAAATCATTGCTTCCAGAAGTTTTTCATGTGCCATATTTTCTCCAAGCACAGTAGCATCTGCACGTTGATGCTGACGTATGACCTATTGTTTAATGTATACATGGTCTATCAGTTTTCTAGGGCCCCTATAATAAATGGCTGCAAACTCAGATGGCTTAAGGCAATAGACATTCACCAGGTCATAGTGGTGAAGACCGGAAGTCCAACATCATGAAACAGGGGGCCCATGGTCTCTTCCCAGCCCGTAGGAGAGGGACCCCTCTGGCCTCTACAGGGCTTGCTGGCGATCCTAGGCATCTCTTAGTTTGTAGATGCATCATGTCAACCTCTGCCTCTATAGTCAGATAGCATTTTCCCCGGGCATGTGTCCAAACTTCCCTCCTCTTACAAGGACACCAGTCACAGCATTAAGGTCCACCTTCATCAGCAGGTCCTCACATAACATGATTTTATCTCTTAAGACCCTATTTCCAAGGAAAGTCATGTACATGGGTCAGCCTAGGGATTAGGACTTGAACATACGGTTTTGGAGGACCTGATGTAATCCCTGACGCAGGGCATATATCTATAGTAAACATAAAGAATCCTTGCACTATTTTCTGTTTATTCCTCCAGATCCATCTTCATATTTCACGCTCTGTTCTGGATGGATTCTGTGGGCCCCTTTGTTTTCAAAACCACAATTTTGCAACACCACTGGGAGGCATGAAGACTGGAGGTCAGGAGAACGTGTTCCTGTGCTGGGCCACCTCCTGCCCTGGCGCCGTGGGTGGGCTGTGTTCGCCTACCAGTTCCCATAGCTCCTGTCAGGTGGTCGTCCCCACACGGCTGCCCTCTCCAGGTCCCTCCGCTCGTCCCCAGCCCAGGGTGGCCACAAGTGGCTCTGCTGTTTCGGGCCCTCACCACGCTTGTCGGCTTCCTCGAGTCTGTCCACCCCTGTTACACTCACCTCCGGAGCCCACGGGAGGCACCTTCCAATCCCTGCCAGAGTCCGACTGGCCACAACACCAAACACAGCGTTAGTTTGTTTGGAAATAAAGGCTGTGCCTGCTTCTTGGAATGACAGTCAAAAAAAGCTGTTTCAAATTCATTTTCCTGCCTCTTACCATGCATGAGTGGGAGAGATTTCCGACAGGTGGGCTCTGGACCCTTTCAGATGGAGACGTGCCATCTTCTCCTCTTGGGTCCTTTGGCCTGGCTGTAGGCAAGGAGCAGTGGCCTGTGTGGGGACAGTCTTCTCTTTCAGGAGCGGGTCATGAGACCAGCTGTCCCTTGGCTTTGCTTATGAAATCTCCTTTACCTTTGGCTGCAGCAGAGCATGGTGAGGAACGTTGGTCTCTTACTATTTGGAACCGAACCATTGAGAGTTTATAAATCATTCATCAAAATGGCAAGAAATTGCATTTCTGGGTCAGTCCAGAGCAGCTGGAGCCAAGTTCAGTGCCAGGGAGCAGCTCCCTATGGAGGGCAACACAATGTCAGAGCCTGGGCGCCGTGGCTCCCTCCCTCCCTCTGTCCTTCCCTCTGCAAATGGACATTGTTCCCTGGGCCCCAGGTCTGGGTCGCATCTGACCCCACCCACTGGAGCCTTGTGGGAAAAGTACTGGTGAGTGTGGAAGAATGCCCATCTTGTGGATGGTAGAGGGATCACATGATAAACATCCCTTTCTTCTTTCTTTGCTCGCTACTCATTTTTGAAAATTTTAAAGGCAAGTGAAAGAGAGTGTGGGGGCCGGGCTTGGACAGGGGGTCTTTGGAAGAAGAGAGAAAACACTAGGTCTCAGAGAATGGAAGGCAGAGTCGCGGGGTCTGTGTTTGCAGTCGTGTGTTTGCAGCCTTGTTGGCTCGTGGAAGATTTAATTGCAGGCACCCGGCTTGGAGGCAGTGTCTAGGTTGCTGGGGCCTTTGAGCGTACCCCCCTCCGCTGCTTTTCATGTCTGTTTGGCTCTGTGGACATCCTAGTGCTTGCACTGGGCCTGGGGGGAAAGAAGCAGGTGCTGGCTGTGAGGACTCAAGGGAAACCCTTCCTGCCTGGTCGTGCAGCCAGCTCAGCCTGGCAGGGCAGGGAGCGGAGCTCGAGGGCAGGCCCACTGGCTGGAGCTGGGCTGCCTCCCCCAGGGCTGCAGGGGGTAAGAAGGACGAGGAGGCTGACAACGCGTTTCATAAACACAGGCCTCTGGGCACCTGGAAGTAGAAGAGGCTTTAGGGGAGATGGAATCTCAATCACGCCAGAGCATTGTCTGTTCTAAAAAAAACCTTCGAAGCCCTCATTAGATCCCGATAAACACATTGTAAGTTAAAAATGCATTCAGACGCACCTAACCTACCAGACACCATGCTTCACCTCGCCTGCCTTTCCATGTGCTCAGGACACTTATCCTGACTTACCGTTGGTCAGTTATCTCGAGTTTCATCTCAAGATTAATTGCCCTTTTCTTCTCACCAGAAGCAGGAGACACAGATGAATGTTTTGTAGATATGACAGGATGTGAAAACACAATGTGCAAAAAAGTGCTGGCAGCACAGTGCGCTGGAGAGTCTGTTGTTTATCCCTGTGGCTGGCGGTTTGCTGGGAGTCGGGTCTCACTGCCCCTGCCAGAGGGTACTGTGCCGCACAGGCCGAGCCCAGGAAAGACCCATATTCAAAGTCTGAAGGGCAGTTCCTACTGAATACATATAACTTTCATACCATTGAAAGCTGACAAACTGTAAGTCAAACTCTCATAACCTGGGAGCCAAGTATATCAGTCACCCTCCGGGCTGAATTTAATAAATCAATAAACACGGACATAAAGTCTCGATAAAAATCTCTGAGCAATACGCTTGAGCATGCTTCCCTGGTGGACACACTCTGTGTGTATTGTCACACATCGACGGTACGAGGGTAACGATGTCCTAAGTCAGCAGAGGGGTCACATTGGAAACCCTTTCAGACTCTGCCCTACGTATCACTTTCCTTAATGACTTTGTGTCTTTGTCCTGTAATAAACTACAACCATGAGTATAACCGCCTTCAGTGAGGTCTGTGAGTCCTTCTCACAAATTGTTATACTTGAGGGTCATTTGGGGAACCCCTGAGACTTGAGTTGGTGTCAGAAGTGAGGGGGGATGTCTTCTGTGAACTTTCCCCTATCACTTTGCCTTTTGACTCCAGGTCTTTGCACTCAGGGCCAGAAGTCTTAAACAGACTCGGCAGCCAGCAGGACTGTGCCCTTGAACTTCACAGTAGCTTACCTCCATGTAAGTAACCTGTTCAAAGTGATCAGAGACAGAGGCACAAGTGGAACTTACATGCTGTAACACAACCACATATAACTACATACATATGTAACACAGAATGCTGTGAATCCTTTCCTATAATATATCCTAACAGGAGTGTACTGACTAGGGCAGAAATTGCCAGAGCCTCTTGCAGCAAAAACAACGGTAATCGTAGCATCTAGACAGTGAGAGGAAATTGGGAGAAGCAGGTTACCAGGTAAGGAAGCAGCAGAATTGAGAAGGAATAACTGAGAGCCCTGGCTGGTGTGGCTCAGTGGATTGAGTGCCGGCCTGAGAACCGAAAGGAGTACCTGAGAGATCTTGGGACTGAGTCAGGTGGCATGGGGCAAGGGCCAGGGTGGTGGTGACTACCAGGTCTTAACCTTATTCACCTTCAGGCAAACCCTTCGCTGTACTGAGAGAGTGTTTCCACTCATCAGAAGCAGACAGAGGGGGCTGAACTGATTCTATCTAGCACTTTATCCAAGAGCTCTTGAGCCTGCCTCTGGCAGCCAGAGACTCCAACTTTAGTTTTTTTTAATGTCTTTTTTTTTAAATGAGGACATTTTGGGGGAGGGCAGAGAGAGAAATATCCATGCGAGAGAGAAACATCGATTGTTTGCCTCTCGTATGTGCCCTGACTGGGAATTGAACTCACAACCTTTTGGTGTATGAGACAATGCTCCAACCAACTGAGCCACACCAGCCAGAGCCACTAGCTTTAGATTTTAAGTCACATTTCCATAGGCTCCTGGCCTATACTACAGCAGTGGGTTGAGTTATGATATTCAAGAATCACACCGACCTTTTCTCTAGAGATTCCAAATGCTTGCTGCTTTCCTCCTGAGATTTGAAAATCCCAGGAAAAAAATGTACAGCTGCACTAACAGCAGAGTGCTCCCCTTGAAGCTAATGTGAGGTGTTTTATAGCACAGTGACGAATCACCTGGGACAGGTTCCATACTGCCGAGGGCCCAGGAGCCCCGGGAGGATTGTGTTCAGTCATGCCACCTCTTCTCTTCAAAGAGAAGGATGCACATAATCCTCTGGAAAGCCTGCTCTATTCCGAAAGGCACCAGTGGAACCACTTTGGCTTCTTTGAACAGACAATTTAGTCCAACAGCGTGGCTCAGTTAAAAGCAAGCACTGAATGAGCTACTTGACTGTCTTATCGGGTAAAGAGCATCCTCAAGCAACTGGGGAGGCTGGGTATGCAGTCACGGCGCTCAGGGAAGTGGTGGGAGAGCAGGTCTCTGTGGGCCCCTGTGCACCGGCCACTTTCCGACATTCTTATCTACACAGCCACCTGTGCAACTCCTATAAGTGTGCCCACTGTAGAGATGACACACTGAGGCTCGCGGAGGTGAACTTGCCGAAGTCATTAAGAAAAGGCAGAGACAGCACTGAAACGCAGACCTTTCCTCTAAGTCTCGATTTCCTATAATTCCACACTGTCTGCCTGTTAGAAATATAGTTCAGAAATATATCACACCGTTGGGGCATCCCAGGGGCTATTAACTTAGGAATCTACGTGAGAAATTCTATAGTATGATCTGAATTTCATCTCTGATTTATGGACATATAAATATGTATATTTATGGGATTTAAATATCCCATAAATGTATAAAATGTATATATGTGTATGTACTTGTGTACATATGTGTATATATAATATATGTATATATATGTAAACATATATATTTCCCCCTTGTCCAAATCTGTAGAATTCAAATAAGTTTAACATATTGATATATTCACTAAACATAACTTGTCCAGTAATTTCTTCTCCTTTTTGTAAGAGAGATTAATTTTAATTTATAAATTGCAATGAAGAATTAGCTCACCTATATTTCCTTTGTATGTTGTAGAGTTTGCACCCAGAATTGTGTTGCATTATCTCTCAACTCTGTATCAGTACACATTACACTGTGCTCAGTGTTTTGTCTGAAGTGGTCCCTGCTCTGTGATACTGTGTTATGTTTTAAGAACTGGTTACATCTGGTACCATGTCGTTCTGCCATCTAGACCTCAAGGTAGAGTTCACCTCTCTGGCCTCATTTCTCAACCTCACCTAAACCGTTCTCTCACCTTATAGGTACCTAATGTACCTCAGACTCTCTCTGGACTACAAAAGGAAGTCCTTCCCTTGAAAGATTGAAACTGCAGTCACACAGCTGTTCACTGTGTGTCCCAGGTGCCGAGAAGACAATGCTGCACCAACAGACCCAAGTCCTGGCCTTGTGGAGCTCCTGTTCTAGCGGGACCCTGCCCCCTCGAGCTTCTCTTGCTGTGCACCTTGTATCTTAGCCAGGTGCGAGGTAGTTCGATGGTCAGATTGCAGGACGCCCAGGTAAGATGTGAGTGATTCACAAGAAGTCCTGGCTTTTCAAAAACAACCATGAACGTAAATATTCTTTTGACTGATGGATAACATGTAAGAGATATGCATCTCCTCTTTCTCCTTTCCACCCCCTGCGAGAGGGGTTCTTTTCACTTGTTACTAGGGAAACAATAAGTTTTACAGGGATATTTAAATTAAACTGTCACATTGCAAATTCTAGAATTAAAGGCTATTTGAAAAATGTTTTTTTCATTTTCCTTCTTTCTGCGTACATTATATGTTTCATGCGGACATCACTGGGATAGAGATAGTTGCTCATGTTCACACAGCCGGCACGGGAGCAAGCAGAATCTCCAACTCAGCCTAAGCTGATTCTAAGATGGCACTGAATCCTC